AGTTCTATTTAGGAATTAATTTCCTATATCAATAAATTCAAGGGTACTTCACACTTTTTCTTCTATCAAGTACAGTGTACAGAGTTTTGTGCATGGTGATAGATGTGGATTTATTTGGAATTTTGTACATGTTAATGTCCAGTTATGTCATTTGTTAAAAATGCTTTCCTTTTTCCTTTGTACCATTTTGACCTGTTTGCCAAAAATCAGGTGTTCACAGTTGTATGGATTAATGTCAAGGTCTTTGATTCTATGTCATTGATCCACCTGCCTATTTTTATGTCAATACCAAGCTTTTTTTATTACTATGGCTGTTTAGTTGTTGACTTTGAATTAATTGATGGTGATGACACCAACAGTTTCTTTATTGTACAGAATTGTTCAGCTATTCTGGTTTTTTTACTTTTCCATATGAAGTTTTTATATTATTCTTTCAAGGTCTGAGAAGAATTATGTTGGAATTTTGATGAGGATTGCATTGAATCTGTAGATTGCTTTTGGTAAGATTGTCAGTTTTAGCATGTTGATCCTACTTATCCAAGAACACTGGAGACATTTCCATTTTCTATATCTTTTTCAATTTCTTTCTGTAGGGACTTAAATTTCTTGTCATACAGGTCTTACATTTCTTTTTTTATTTACCCCAAGGTATTTTATAATTGTGGCAATTGTAAAGAGTGATATTGCTGTGATTTGTTTCTCAGCCCATTTATTCTTTGTATATGGGAGAACTACTGATTTTTTTGTGTTAATTTTATATCTAAAATTACTGAATGTTTTTACCAGCTGTTGGAGTTCCCAGATAGAATATTTTTGGGTCATTTATGTATACTATCCTATCATCTGATTTTGGTGTTAGAGCTTTAAGCTGAAGATCACAACACAAAGCACATGCCACTACCTCTTACCTGCACATATGCTCAGACCAAAGGGCTGATCCACATATTGCTCCTGACTTCACTGCTCCTCAGATTCCCTCAGACTGCTATGTGTTCCTCAATGTGGCTTGAGACTAACTCTCAGATTAAAGGCCCATTTTTTTTTTTAACTTGGAGGAAAAAGTTTGTCTTTTAACTAATTCCTCCCTTTAAGAATTCCTAGTTGTCTCACCAAATCTGCTGACAATGATGATTCAGATGATGGTGAAATGTGAAGCTGACTGCTGCTGTGTAGAACAGTAGAAGCCCAAGCAGGTTTCAAGGCAGCTATATAATTTGATAGGAATCTGAGAAGAGGATCCAGGAATGCCCACATCCCTAAGGAGAAAAGACAGTGAAGAGCCAGCTCTTTGCACAGGGGAATGTGATGAAGAGGCAAACTCCCGCAGCATTTGGAGCCCAAGAGTCTATGGAGTTTACAGCAGAGACTCTGCAACACAGAAATTTCAAACTCACTCAGATTCTTGGAGAACCAAAGAGAAAAACCTAGTTGGGTGAGGTGAGGACTCTGGAGGGGGTCTCTGCTGTCAACTCCTCTCTGTCCCATGGTTGTAAAGTCACAGGCAAGTGACTTTTTTAGTGAATTGATGCCCCAAAGTTGGATGACAGTTGTAGCGCAAATTCTAACTAGTCTCAGTAATAAACAACTGGAGTCAGATAGCAGAGTAAATGCTGAAAGATGTTAGAGACAAACGATGAAGACCTGACCACTCTTCAGTCTGAAAGGAGGGGAGCTCCTGTTTCTACCCATCTCATATTGCTCTCTCTCTCTCTGCCCAGCCACATCACTCCCTATTTCCTCCTCCCTAGTGCTGGGGTTAAATGTGTGTGCTATCACTGCCTGAACTCTGTAGTTAATGAGTGGCAAGTTCTGCACTCTGATCTCCAGGCGCGTTTCTCCCCCACCCCTTTTTAGGAGCACAAACAAAGTATCCCCACACACTTTCTGACATTCCCGTGGTCCTGTGTCCAGTCTTCAGCACCGTATACACTGTGTGTGTGGTGGTGCACACCTGCAATCCTAGCTGTTGGAATGTAGGGAAAGTGGATAAGGACTTCAAGGTTATGCTTGGCTACCAAATTAGTGAGGGTTCCCTAAAGCAATGATTCTCAACTTGTATGTCTTAACTCCTTTGACAGTCAAACTACCCTTTCACAGGGGTCATAGTAGATCAATGGAAAACACAGATGTTTACATTATGATTAATAATAATAGGAAAAGTACACTTATGAAATAGCAAAGAAATATTTTTATGGTTGGGTTATAACAACAGGAGGAACTGTATTAAAGGATCATAACAATAGGAAGGTTGAGAACCCCTGGTCTATAGGCATTCCTATAGTCCAGTTCAAGAGGGCATTTTCTCACTCAAGGCTTCCTCTTCTCAGATGACTTTAGATTGTGTCAAATGACATAAAAGCAACCACCCTGGTGTGGGATAGAACTAGAAGAGATAGCTGTGGAATTTGTAGGTTTGTGGATGAGAGTGATTTCAAGGATGGACCCAGTCTGCAGATCTTCTGCTTCTACTGGGGAAGAGCTTGAGTAAGAAGGATGAGGATCATGAATGTCATCCCAGGGTGGAAGAGACATGGACCTGGAAACTATTCTCCGAGTAAGAGATGTTCCAGGAACTTTCAAAAGTCAGAGAAGAATTAAGTCCCCTATATTGGCTGAGAGAAAAGGGGCTTTGAGAAATAGAGTACACGTTTCTCGTCTGTGAGGGTGACATGTTACTTATGACACTCAGTATCTGTTAAATACATATCATTACACTGTGTTTGACATATGTTTTCTTTAGCCTTCTTTATTTTAAAATATATGTATAAATGTTTACATCTATATTGCTCTCCTTTTGTCCCTGCCTATGCATCTAACTCTCTATAAAAGCGTTGTATCTGTGCATCACTTGTCCTGAGGCTTTATCACATAAAAGCCTCAGAAGGAGAACACTTTGGCCTCAACTTAAATTCTTGCAATTTCTAAAGAACTGTATCTCAAACTGTCTATCTTATATCCAAAATTTGAAATAAAAGGATGACTTTGTCCGTAATGTGAGAAAAGGACTGTAAGGAGTATGGTTTTTTCTGCCCACATCCAGGTCTTGTCCCGCCGCTGCGCCAGCCCCAATTAACATACTGAAACTCTGTATTTGATACAATGCTGTTGGCCCGGTTACTTGTTTCTTATCCGCTAGCTCTGTCTTAATTATTAGCCCATTTCTATGTATTTCCACCTGGTCTTACCAGGGAGAGGCGGCTGGCGGTTCTTCCTTCTCCAGATTTTCCATCTTGACTCTCCTTATTACTTCCTCTTTCCTCCTTGTCTCCTAGTCCCTCCTCTCTTGCTTTCCTATTGGCCAACAGTGCTTTATTCATTAACCAGTATGAGAAACATATATACATAATGACATCTCCCATCAAAGGACACCACTCAAAGGACACCAGACTAACCACATCCTCCTGTCTTCAGGGGAAACACTTTCTCAGCAGCCAGCCTATGTTTGCCTCTCAGGGCTGGTGGAGGATCCCTAAGACTGAGACTTCTTGTGTTACTGAGCTGAGTAAACTCTGCAGCTGTCCCTTGGTCTGACAGACTGCTGATTTGCCTGTTCCCAGAGCACATCCCCCTTAACTGACAGATCCATAGCTGACTACTCACAGTCCCTGCAGGGGTCAGTCTCAGACAGTACGTAGCTTGACCCATATCAGAAACTTTGTTTGACAATTTTATATAAGACCAAAGCCTTGGAGTCCTCAATGTGGCCATGCCCATGTTAACAATGTGCAGTCACTCAGGACTTCATAGGTCAGGGCTCCCTCTGCTTTATATCATTGTGTCTTATCTTTGTCAACTATTGGGGGGGGGTGTAACACTTTAAATATACATTATTTACTGGTTTTTTATCAGGAACTGTGAGATGTGGACCTCAAAGAGACGTTCAGCTTTGTGGAACAGCATGTGTTCTTACATCGCTGAACTCTTGCTGAGAGCACATCAGCTTCTGAGGAGAAGATACTGTGTTTGCAGGAAGAGTCATGTAGAACCTCACAGGCATTAGGACAGGACATTCATCATGGCCACAGAGCTAGAAAGTAGCTTATACCTTCTCAGGCCTAAACACAGGAACCCCTCATGCTGATTCTGTTATAGGAAAAGAGTAGGAAAGAACTTTAAACAGGGTTAGTAGAAGAGAGTAAGTTGACAGTGGCAAATGCTCTTATAGCTAGTCACTACTGGGAAGATTATATTTTGTACAGTGTTACATATATTATTTATTCACATAATTTTAACATTTTTCAAAATATAAAAGTATTTATCTTATCAATAACTATTTTTCCATATATATACATACATATGTATGTATATATACACACATATATATATATGTGTGTGTGTGTATACACACACACACACACACACACACACACACACACACACACATATTCTTGTACACTTCCCGCCATGGATTGATGGTATAATGGTGTAACCACAGCACAACATTCTGGGAAACAGTTCAAAGAACTTGTTCTAGCCTTAAGAATGTCCACATGATCAATTGAATGTGACTTTTAAAACATCTTAAGGTGATATCACCCTCCCTGTGGAGTGGGGGGGTGGGATGGCGTGGGAGGGGTTTCGGGGATATGGGAGAGAGGGAGAGAGATAGGGAACGGGGAGCAATGAGTAAAATAAGAAATATATCTACACACACACACACACACACACACACACATATTTCTTCAAGGTTCTGGAATTGCCACTGGGAAGAAATACATGGCACTGACCATTTATTAGCAAAAAATAAACTACTCATAAGAAAGCAGGACCAGTCTTTCCTGAGCCCTAGAAAAAAAACGAAGTCTGTGCAGAAAAATAACACAGTGCCCTCATCAAGGCCAGAACTTTGTGTCCTGAGGCTGGTTCAGGGTTAGTTCCTGAGTTGAGAGAGATTTGCAGCTGTGAATTTGTTATCTAGCCCCTGCTGATTTGCATGTAAGCAGAGAACAGTCTTTATCCAGAGTACTTTTTAATGGCTGCTCACACCCTGTGCAGGAGTCAGTCCCCACAGGACACAGCACAGACATGAGGGCTCCTGCTCACCTCCTGGGGCTGCTGCTGCTCTGGATCCCAGGTATGGAGGACAGTGGTGCCTGTCTCAGTGTGCTCCGTGCTGTCTGTCTGTCTGTCTGTCAGGGAACTCTATAAGGACCTTAAAGTCAGTGTTGAATAGATTTCACTGTGTTTCCCCTTAATTCCAGGTTCCCGATGTGATATCCAGATGACCCAGTCTCCATCTCAGCCTGTGTCACTAAAAGACACAGTCACCATCAAGTGTCAAGCCAGTCAGAGTGTTAGTACTGCATTAAGCTGGTACCAGCAAAAACCAGGGGAATCTCCAAAGCTCCTGATCTATGCTGCATCTAATCTAAATACTGGAGTCCCATCCAGGTTCCGTGGCAGTGGGTCTGGGACTGATTTTACCCTCACCATCAGCAGTGTGGAGCCAGAAGATATTGGAACTTATTACTGTCAACAGTATTATGATTACCCACCCACAGTGGAACATCTCATAACATAAACCATTGAGCAAAGCAGAAGTGTGAGCCTGGGTTTCCTCAGCTGTTATTCTTGCTGACTCTACCTGCTGAGGTCATTATTCAGATAAAGTTGCCTTTGAGGTGCACTGGGATAAGTGGCCATGGAGTTTCCCCCTCTTTCTCAGTTCCAGAAGCAAGGGTTAACTTCTGATTTAGCAAAAATACAGTTCAGTACTCATGAGGCATCTGGATCATAGGATCTTTTTGGATTCAGGCAGCAAAGAAAACTTCAAAGGAGATTTTTAAAAAGTTAAAAAAAAAAAAAAAAAAAGAAAAGGACTGAGAATCTACAGTGAAGCCTCTAAAATGATTTTTTTTTGGCACATGCAATCTTCTTCTATATGTGTGTAAAGGAGTAGGACTTACACAGATCCCTGATAGGCAGAAAGATAAATAGAGGGGCTGCAAATCGACAATGAAGTTGACCAAATTCCTATGTATAAAGGTGGTAAACTTTTGGCCCCTTTCTCATATGCCTAGTGTGATTGGATTCAAAGGCCTAAAGACCTGGGAGGCTTTTTCATCTGCTAGCAGGACCCCTGACTATCCTTCAAGTTCAAGACAGGATCAAGATATGTTTTCCCAAAGGCTGTGGGCCTGTCAGCATCCCTGACTTTGTTCAAGCTGACCAAACCTAAATTAGGGGATGAAGACCTCTCAAAATTTCATAAAGTCACCAGCCATTATGGAGACTCCATGCTTCATGAGGATTCCAAAGGTCATACCTATTATGGATGACTTTGCTCCCTAAGCTTTTCTGCCAGCTGTCAAACTCATATGTTAACATATATTTATTAATATTATCATGTTGTTGTCTTCTTAGTAGTTCAGTAGTCTGATCAGTATTCTGTATACTTGCAGCATAAAACCTTTGCTGATAAAACTTCCTTCTTGAGGTAGAAAGACTGTCAGAGGCCCAGGTGGTAGATGGCTCCAAAGAAATACTCTTTCCAGGCACATATGACCTCACAGATTGTGATGCAAACACACACACACACACGCACACGCACACGCACACCCACACGCACACGCACACGCACACGCACACGCACACACACACACCCTGCAAAAATTCAAATCAGACAAAATCCTAGTAGGAAGAAGAAGAGGAGGTGGACACAAAGTCCCATCCCTAATCAAGAAGCTATTTGCATTGATACCTTCTGCCAAAGGCAAAATCAGATTTTTCCAATGTAAATTTTGGAGCTAAATGTATTTCTTCCTTTTATAGAGTTCTATTTTGTTTTCTTTCTGGGACTATTAGCTAAAACAAAAAAGTTCTAAAAGGTGTTTGTGGTAGAGTATCTCATCAAGAAATCATAGTTGGAACAGATACAGAAAACAACTTTCAAAAATCAGATACTGGCATTCTGGTCTTAGCAAGTTCTAAGAGTAAGGAAACAGAGTCCTCCATGAAAGTCTATGGATCTAGGGCTAAGAAGGCTGAGATAAGAATTCTCAGTTGCTCAATAGAAGACTCTACTAAAACCTAAGGGAGCTGATACTAACCAGAAACCATGGCTTTGAGAGTGAATGAGGTTAACAGCTGGAAAAATCCTCTCATTCTACATGGTGTTCTCCATTGCTCAGTCTTAGAATTGCAAAGTCTTAGAATGTTTCTTCCCCAATCTGTCTCACATGCAAACTTGCACTTTGAAAACTTCCTTTTTAATCCACAATTCCCATTTGTCAGGGGTTTAAGAGAACAAAAGAGGACTTTTCTTCTTTCATGTTTTTTTTGTACTTATCCATACAGTGTTTATTATGAGATTCACATTAGAGTTAATGACATCTCCTTACTGACTTTTATAATAGTTACTCATAGAAAGTTACACCAGTCATCAATTGTTTTTGCTTTTAAAAATTACAGACTTGGACAGTCTATGGGGCCTCTAGCAGTGGAACCAGTATTTACACTTAGTGCACAGACTTTGGGAGCCCATTTCCTATGGAGGGATACTCTCTCAGCCTAGGGCCTAGGCCTTGCCCTAAATGATGTGACAGACTTTGATGATCCCACATGGGCCTCACCCTCCCTGAGGAGTGGATGGGGGTGGGATGGGGGATGGGTGGAGAATGGGAGGACTGGAGGGAGATAGAACTTTATGTCTTAAAGAAAGAAATTAAAGAAGATACCAGAAAATGGAAAGATCTCCCATGCTCTTGGATAGGTAGGATAAACATAGTAAAAATGGCAATCTTGCTAAAAGCAATCTATAGATCCAATGCAATCCCCATCAAAATCCCAGCACAATTCTTCACCTATCATGAAAGGATAATACTCAACTTTACTTCTGTTTCCAACAGAAGCAAACACCCACAACTAAACACTGAGCCGAAATGGAATCCAGATACAGAGAGGGAGGACAAAACCAAGCTGCAGAAACACATAGAGACAGCTAAACAAGGAGGAGCTAATGGGACCCTAGACTGATAGCTGGGAAGCCAGCATGGGACTGACTCAGGCCCCCCTGAATATGGGTCTCAGCTAGAAGGACTGAGAAGTCTAAGGGATCTCGGACAGTAGGACCAGGATGTATTCCTGGTGCACAAAAGGACTTTGGGGGCATATCCCCCATGGAGAGATACTTCCTTAACCTAGAGACAGGAGAGAAGGCCTAGTCCCTACTCCAAATGACTTGACAGATTTAGATAACCCCTCCTGGAGGGCATCAGCCTACATGTTGAGTCGGGGGTGGGTGGGAGGGGAGGGTGTGAGAGAGGAAAAGAGGGAGGGGAGGAGGGAGGGAGAGAGGGAGAGAGGGAGAGGGAACTGGGATAGATATGTAAAATAAAAATAAATAAATTAAATAAAAATATTCAACTTTATATAGAAAAACAAAAGACCCAAGATAGCCCAAACAACCCTGTATAATAAAGAAACTTCAGGAGGCATCACCATCCCTGACTTTAAGCTCTATTATAAAGTAATAGTCCTGAAAATAGCTTGGTATTGGCACAAAAATATACAGGTAGACCAATGGCTGAAAGACATTTAAGAAAGTGCTCAACGTCCTTAGCCATCAGAGAAAGGCAAATCAAAACAACTCTGAGATCCCATCTCACTCCTGCCAGAATGGCTAACATTAGGAATCCCAATGACAACTTATGCTGGAGAGGATGTGGAGAAAGGGGAACACTCCTCCACTGCTGGTGGGAGTGCAAACTTGTACAGCCACTTTGGAGATCAGTATGGCAGTTCCTCAGGAAAATGGGAATTAGTTTACCACAGGACCCAGCAATTCCACTCTTGGCATATACCCAAATGATCCACATCCATGCAACAAAGACATCTGTTCAACTATGATCATAGCAGCATTATTTGTTATAGCAAGAACCTGGAAGCAACCTAGATGCCCCTCAACTGAAGAATGGATAAAGAAGATGTGGTACATTTACACAATGGAATACTACTCAGCGGAAAAACAAACAAACAAAACAAAACAAAACTAAGGAATCTTGAAATTCACAGGCAAATGGATGGAACTTGAAGAAACCATCCTGAGTGAGGTACCCAGTCACAAAAAAAGGAACATGGTATGTACTTACTCATATAAGGATTTTAGCCTTAGAGCAAAGGATCCCCGGCCTATAATTCATGCCGCCAGAGAAACTAGGATACAAGGAGGAACCTAAGAGATTCATACAAGGTTCCTCACAGAAGGGGAAAGAAACTAGATCTCCTGCACATATTACAAGTGGGGCGGTGAGAGGAGAGGGAGTTAGGAGAAAGAGAAGGGGAGGAGAGGAGAACATGTGGGACCAGGAAGATTGAGTCAGGGGACGAATATACTAGAGCAAGAAAAGAGATACAGTAATAGAGGGAGCCATTATAGGTTTGAAGAGAAAACTGACTCTAGAGAAATGTCCAGAGACCTACAAGGATGATCCCAACTAACAATCTGAGCAACAGTGGAGAGGCTACTTTAAATGCCCTTCCCTGATAATGATTGACAACTAATTTATAGGCCATCATGGAGCCCTAATCTAGTAGCTGATGGAAACAGAAGTAGACACCTACAGCTAAACACTGGAACCCTGGAACCCAGTTGCAAAGAGGGAGGAATGATAAGAAAAGGGCTCAACAGGTTGTAGGCAAGCCTATATAAGGCATTTTCTTAATTAATGAATGATGGGTAGGGCCTTAGCCAATTCTGGGTGGGGCCATCCCTGGGTTGTTGGTCCTGGGTGCTATAATAAAGAAGGCTGAGCAAGCCATGAGGATCAAGCCAGTGAGTATCACCCCTCATGGCCTCTGCATCAGCTCCAGGTCCAAGTGTGAGTTCCTGCCCTGACTGCTTTTCATGATGCTGTGGAATAATCCTGTACACGTGTGAATGTATGCTGCTATGACTGCCTTGGTAAACAAGCTGGCTGGCCAGTCGCTGAACAGGATAACGTTAGGCAGGGAAGCCAAACTGAGAACGATGGGCCGAGGAAGGGCGGAGTCAGAGGAGATGCCAGCCAGCTGCCAAGGAAGCAGGGCATGTGGAAAATGAGGTAGCAAGCTGTGAGTCACATGGCAAAGCATAGATAAGAAATATGGTTTAATTTAAATGTGAGAGTTAGATAACAACAAGCCTGAGCTCTTAGCTGAGCATGTGTGGCTTCTGGGGTGTGACAGAAACTTCCAACTACAGACTGTTATATGGAACTGTGTGTGAAATAAATCCTTTCTTAAAAAAAGAAAGAAAGAAAGAAAGAAAAAAGAAAAAGAAAGAAAAGGAGTCAAGACCAGGCTACAGAACCCACAGAGACAGCTGACCTGAACAAGGCGGACCTCATGGACCCCCAGACCGATAGCTGGGAAACCAGCGTTGGACTGACTCAGACTCCTTGAACATGGGTCTCATTTAGAAGGCCTGAGCAGTCTAAGGGACCTCTGATAGTGGAACCAGGATGTATCCCTGGTGCACAGAAGGACTTTGGGAGCCCATTCCCCATGGAGGGATACTCCCTTAGCCTAGAGGCAGGATGGAGGGCCTAGACCCTACTCCAAATGACTTGACAGATTCTTATGATCCCTCTTGGAAGGCATCACACTTCCTGTGGAATGGGGGAGGGGATGGGATTGCAGGGCAGGGAGAGGGAACTGAGATCGATATGTAAAATAAGAAAAAAATTATATATCTCTATGTATATATATTTCCAAAGTTTGCCCCAAACACATTTTAATTAACCTTTGGACTGACAACATTCCTTCTTTCTCCACAATCATTAAGTTATTCTCAGCGAAACAACCTAGTGGACGGTCCAGTGGAACTCTTTCCAGGGATTTTTGGTCACCTAATACTAGCTGCATATGACTCAGAGTTTGTGTCAGGTGTGAATAGAGCTTAGCCCTTCGTGTGACTCCCCTTTAAAAATGAGGACTTGCAGTATGAATCAGCAGCCCAGAGCATTTACTGCCCTTGCAGAGGTGCTGCCATTTTTGTTCCGAGCACCCACATCAAGTGTTGACAACTGCCCTCTACTGGACTCCTCTGGAAGTGCCTGTTCATGCTGTACATAAACTCACTCAGGTTCAACGCATACACATTTAAACAACCAGTCAATAAATACTTACATGTTTTGTTAAAACTTACTCTACATGGTGCACCATCTTATTAAAAACTGAGTGCACCCTTGCTTTTGTTTATGCTTTTATCAATGCACTCAAATTGTTTGTTAGAAATTACATGGTCAGTGAGTGCAGGGAATGGAATTTAAGTGTGGGCATGGCTGGCTTCCTACAGGTTCCTCGCTTAGGGACTCATTTGTTCACTATGTGTCTAGAGCATATGCAACACTGGAACAGATTTAGGTGAACATCAAAATTTCTAGTTTTATTTGCTGCAAAATACAAGGTGAATCCCTCTACAGATCAATCTATAAAACACAAATCTCTTGTTTCTTTCCAAGATGGAATCTAAGCTTGTTTAGAACTGGGGGGGGGGCAAGGCGTACATGACATTGCTGTAGTATGGTGGCTTTCTTTCATTTAAATTTCTGACTCACTGACTCCTCATATTAGGAGAGTCTATAAATAATGGGAAAAAAATGGGTGTAGAGAGAAAGGAATAAATTTTGGAGAACTTGTGGATATATGAATAAGTATGATAAAAAGTCAGTATCAAATTCTAAAAGAATCAATAATAAGATGAAAAGAAGATAACATTGGTGTTTTGCAAAGTATTAATATTCAGATCCTCACCTGCCTAAATAGCACAATAGTAATGGAAGTATTTAATTCAAGAGTTACCCTTTAGGTCCTGCAGTGGGTTCCAGGATCATGAATGGAAACTTCTTCCTCGGGTGATACATTTGAAATCTGTGGGATCTGAAGGAATATGACTGAGTTGGAAGGTATATCACTCAGGGCATGTCAGTGACAGTTTATACTGTCCTCAGTCTCTGACTCACCCACTTTCTTCCCTCTTGTCTGTCATAGGGGAAGAAGTTTTGTAATGCCAGTGACAGTTTATACTGTCCTCAGTCTCTGACTCACCCACTTTCTTCCCTCTTGTCTGTCATAGGGGAAGAAGTTTTGTACAACTACAGAGTTGCTCCCACAAGGTGCTGGTGTTTCACAGATGGAAACTGCAACAACTAAGAGGCCATGAAGGCCTCCACCAAGATCTCATAATGTTAGAAGGCCTTGCTGGCTTGACATAGGTTGCAGGCCATCATGGCCTGGCAGCTTTTCCCAAAAGCTCAGCAACATTGTGACTTCCTCACCCCCAGCTAAGATTCTTGCTCTCTACATGCCCTTATCCTGAGGATATCCCAGAGCCTAGAGGAATGACCTTATCTGAAAGCAGTTTCTAAGAATGCTGCCTGCTTTATCTTCAGCTTGACATTTGGCACAGCTTCCTGCTAGAAGCCTTCTCTGCTGCACATATGATAACTAAAACTTGTGCTAGAAGTCCTATGATGGGAGCATGCCACTTAATGCAAATGAGGGTTAGTCCCCAACTCTCTAGTCCTGCACATTCCTTATACTCTGGAATAAATTTGAGCTGATTCACCCAAGTCTGTCTCCCAGAGGGCTGTATTCATAGTACGTGGACTGGACTTTATTTCCTAGCTTCTGTGCACTCCACTCTCATGAACCAGTGCAGACAATGATCCTGAAGAAGCAGTAGAACCACACCACAGTAATGTCTTTGAGGCCAAACAGTGTACTGCATCTTTGACATCCCTGAAGGTAGTATCTGGCAATGGATAGGTTTCTGAGGATGAACCAAAGGTTACACCAGATTCCTTAGGAAGGAAGACATGCAAAGAACATAGAATATGAAGCCAACCCAAGACAGAAATCATGTGGTTAGAGAGGATAAAGTCACACATTTAGGCCTCCCCGATCTTGTCTGAGTTCATGTCAACCACTATGTGCTCTGCATGGTACATGGTGACTAAGATTTAATGCCTCCACTTTGTGGTTATGGTTTGGCTTTCATTCAGTTCTTATTTGGTACTTTCTTAATATTCTTTCAGAAATGGAAATGATCACTTTTCCATGTCTGTTGGGAGTGGATAGCTTGCTTTCTGAAGTCCTATTTATTAAGCAACAGAAGAGGAAGACACCAAAATTTCAAGGCATACAGGTAACTCAGTATACATGAGTTAGAGATTCCTAAGAAATTGACAAGTTGGTTTTTTTTTTGTGTGTGTATGTATGTGTGTGTGTGTTTGTTGTTTGTTTACAAGGCCGCTATTGGCCAGAGAAAATGAAAAGATGTGGATTCCTTCCAGACTAATGTGGTTTGATCAAGCCAGACCACCTGAAACAGAGTACCAGATGATCCTACATTCAAAACAGCTGGACAAAGCAGCCTTACAGACTACAGCCAGGATTTCTGAATCTTCTTGGAATCCCCCATGACAGCGCCCCTTACCAGCAGGAAGTAGTTTGGAAAGAACAATGCCCAAATTCCCAAATATTGTCTATAAATGTTTGTTTTCATTTAAATGGACTTGGTTATATAAAATTAAAAAAAACAAAACAAACAAACAAAAAAAAACCAAGGCATCTATGGCCACTATTCTACCATCAACACACATTTTTATAGAGAACAAAAATATTTATGTCTTAAACCAATCTAAAGGCCATTGGTAAAGTGAAGTTGAATATTTCTGGCATTCACATCACGTTTGTCCATATCATTAAAGGAGGTGTGGTAAGAATTCAGATCCCAGGTGATATGCTTGTTGTTTTTCATTAAGAGGAACTGTCATCTTCCTGTTGATATTTATTGAAAGTGTCCTGAACAAGGTTTCCTCCAGATCCTGGGGTTATCATGTGAGTAGGCAGAACTGTCTTCTGAGTCTCAAAGATAAAAGAGTACTGCTGATACAAATCAGCACAAAGAGAGTGAAGACAGAGAAACTAGCATCCCTATCAATCCACCCGAAGCTGTGTGTGCTACTCCTGTTGGGAAGGGTGTCCTGTATCCTGAAAAAACTCCTTTAATCCTAGGGTTTGTTCACACTCATCCCTCAAGGCCAGATGCTGGACAATCAGCAGGGTTAGAGCAGGCTGTAGTACTGTCTGTCCTTTCTCAGGTAGTTTTCTAAAAGATTTTCTGAATTCCCAGGCTGTAGGACAGGGATACTTATGACTGAATAGACTCCACATCTCCTGATGATAAATAAGGTTGAATGGCCAAGGCAAAGACACAGGTTTGAGATGCCGTGTGTTCATATATATGTGTTATAAGAATACAAAATCATTATCACTGCATCTTAGTTTATTTTTGCAAACTGAGACACCCATGAAGAGAGTGAGGCTCCTGACTAAACAGTATAGTGTCTCCAGTCACTGTTCAAGAGTGAAAGGTGAAAATATCATTTGCAATACGTAGCAAAGCCATGTATTGAGTAGTAATGTTTTCTGTCATAGTGTTCCAGTCTGTCATCACTAGTCAATCCTTTATGCTAAGGAATTGTAAGAAGTATTAGAAAGTCATAGGAAAGATTAAATACAGAAGATATCACATGGAAAAAAATGTGCAATGGATTTAGTCTGTGAGCATGAAAGTACTTCCATCTTAATCTAGAGTCAGGACTCCAAGTGAGACATATGTTTGGATGAAGGTGTTACCTGTGCACCTACTCTGTAATCCCTCAATTTGTACCATAGTAAACATAGTTAAACATATAAAATCTTATTTTAAAATTAAAAAGGCCCTGATAAATTATCCTTTTAATTTAAAGAAATGACTATTCCAAACTCACAAACACATTCCAAGGAGAAAACATAATATTGTTTAACCAATCAGAATTATTTGAGTGAGTTAAAGATTTAATAGTCTCTTTTTGGTTGTATGTTCCCTTACAGCAGGGTATTTGTCTCCATTACCCCAATTTATCTTTGAAATGTATTATTTATCATGGAGTTTATATACATTAAAAATGTCATGTGGAATTTAAAATTTGAAAAGGAAGTGTATTCTTTGGAGGCATGTGTATGGTTTGACCCTGAGCATCTAGGCATCCCGTGTTTGTACCAAGTTGCTGTGATGAACAAGTCTTGCAGCTGTGTCCAGAACTAACTGGTTCCCAGTGATTTGCATACACTCACTGCACAGCCCAGAGAACTTCTTCATATATCAATCAGTCACACCTTGTTCTGTTGTCATTTCAATCAGGACTCAGTATGGACATGAGGGCCCCTGCTCAGTTCCTGGTGCTCCTCCTGCTCTGGCTTCCAGGTGATAAATATAATAGGAATTTCACTGTCACACCATAATTATTGTTGATTGGTGTTTGGGGACAATCCTTTTGTATCATGCTTAACTGTATGGATATTTATTATGTCTTCACTCCTAGGTGCCAGATGTGACATCCAGATGACCCAGTCTCCATCCTCCCTCTCTGCATCTCTGGGAGACAGAGTCACCATCACTTGCAGGGCAAGTCAGGATATTAGCAGATATTTAATCTGGCTGCAGCAGAAACCAGGGAAAGCTCCTAAGCGCCTGATCTACTATACATCAAACTTGGATGATGGGGTACCATCGAGGTTCAGTGGCAGTGGGTCTGGGACAGATTATTCTCTCACCATCAGCAACCTGGAGTCTGAAGACGCTGCAACTTATTACTGTCTACAGTATGATATTTATCCTCCCACATTGATACAAGTTATAACATAAACGCCCATGGAAGCAGAAGTGAGAGGCTTGGCCGACCCAACTGTTACTCCTCGTGAGTCACTCATTGAAAGTGTTTTGCAGATGTGACAGGATTTTCAGCAAAACTCACGGAGAGTCATTTGTTTTGACAAGATAGGATAGAGTCCTGTTTGTACCTCCAATGTCTTCCTTCTTCGACATCTCCAGCAATATAGAATACCGACTTCTTTTCTACTTTAAAAGAAGACACAGCCACTCTCTGTGAGGAGTCTGAGTTGTATGGCCAGTTTGGAATCATACAGAACAGTGGAAACTGCTGTGAATATCCCAGAACACATTACTGAAATTCAGAAAATTAGTTTCCAAGTGCCAGCATTTGAAGGGCAGAAAGATATTACTGACAGAAGCTGACAGCAGAAAGGAGTTCTGCATTTCTCACAAAAGCTAGACTGCAAGTATCAGAGAAAGGAAAGGGTGTCTAACCCTGGTCCTCTGCTGTGCCCTCAAATTCCAGCAGTGGGTGTTGATGCGCTCTGCTGTCTGCAACATTTTAAATAGAATTCTATCGACTCCTATGTTCTCTTGCCTGTTTACAAAAATTAAACAATGTAGAGCCACACTCCTACGATTTTCAACCCCACTACATGAGCTGGGATATAGGTTTGTGTATGTGACATCATATAGGTTGTAAAGGGTTGTATTAAACATGCTTCCAAAAGTGATATTAATGAAGAATTGATATCCCAGAGCATAGTTTTAGAAACAACACAAAGCCTGGTGTTGTTGGCACGTGCCTCTAATTCCAGCACTTGGAAGGCAGAGGCAGGGAGATCTCTGTGAGTTCCAGGACAGCCAAAGCTACACAGGGAAACCCTGTTTAAAAACAACAACAACAACAAAAAGAACAGCAACAAAAGAACGGTGATCTATATTCTTTTTATTTTATTTTAGAAATCCTATGTGGGTAAGAGCTACTTCCTTGTCAACATCTAGTGCCTTGGGGACCCTCACATAAATCAGAACACATGGGTTGCAGAGTAAGGACAACGGCATGAGGCACTTTTATCTTTTTAGGACTTTTATATACAAGGTTAGACAATTATCTCAGAATGTCACCACGCTCAGAGTACACAAAGAATCATCAGCTGTCAGTATGGGGCAATGTCTCTGATATATTTAAAGAAGAGGCAGGATATTGGAGCACAGTTCAGTGAACTCAAGAGCTACTTCCTCATCTTCAGACCCACTGACACATAGGTAGAAAAAGTATGTTTCCATCTATGCTTGTTATGCCAAGTGTTTATATCTTAACTCTCGACTCATCAGACCCATGATGCACCTCCACCTTCAGCCAGCTCTGTATCTTCACACTGTCTCTTTAAGATGTCCCTTTTATCTACCCACCTATCTGTACATCTACAGTATAATAGATTTAATTACTGTAGTTTTATACAAAAACCAATTAAGTCAAAGGATATAATACCACGTTTATATGCTTCAGATTTTCTTAGTCATGCTGTCTTACTTTTCTTTCCTTTTTCTTTTTTTGAAAATTTTCTAAAATTTAAATTTGAAACAAGATTGTTTTACATTTCAATCCCAGTTTCCACAACCTCCTGTCTTCACCTGTCCCCTCACAAACCACCACGCGATCCCCTTTCTGCTCCCCAGGGAGGGTGAGGCCTTCCATGGGGAATCTTCAAAGTCTGTCATATCATTTGGAACAGGGCCTATGGCCTTCCCCATGTGTCTAGGCTGAGAGAGTATCCCTCTATGTGGAATGGGCTCCCAAAGTCCATTCCTATACTAGGGATAAATACTGACCCACTACCAGAGGCCCCATAGACTGCCCAGTCCTCCTAACTAATACCCACATTCAGGAGGTCTGGGTCTGTCCTATGCTGGTTTCCCAGCTATCAGACTGGGGTCCATGAACTCTCTCTTGTTTAGGTCAGCAGTTTCTGTGGGTTTCTCCAGCCTGTTCTTGACCCCTTTATTCATCACTCCTCCCTCTCTGTAACTGAATTCCAGGAGTTTGTCTCAGAGTTTAGCTGTGGGTGTCTGCTTCTGCTTGCATCAGCTACTAGATGAAAACTCTAGGATGGCATTAAGGTAGTGTTCAATCTCATTGTCGAGGAAGGGCATTTAAAGTCTCTCCACTATTGCTTAGATTGTTAGTTGGGTTCATCCTTGTAGATCTCTGGACATTTCCCTAGTGCCAGATTTTTCTTAAAAACCTATAATAGCTCCTTCTATTATGGTATCTCTTTTCTTGCTCTCCTCTACTCTTTCCCTGACTCAATCTTCCTACTCTCATATGCTCTCTCTCCCCTCCCTTTCCTCCTAACTCTTTCTTGCCTCTCCCCAATGCTCAAAATTTGCTTGGGAGATCTTGTTCCTTTCCCCTTCTCCAGGGGATTAGGTATGTCTGTCTTAGGGTCCTCCTTGTTTCGTAGCTTTTATGGTGGTATGGATTATAGGCTCTATTTCTAAAATCCATATATGAGTGAGTATATACCATGTTTGTCTTTTTGTGACTGAGTTACCTCACTCAGGATGTTTTCTTCCAGTTCCATCCATTTGCCTGCAAATTTCAAGATTCCATTGTTTTTTTTCCCCTGAATAATACTTCATTGTGTAAATGTACCACTTTTTCTCCATCAATCTTTAGTTGTTTTAATTTGCATTTCCCTGATGGCTAAGGATGTTGAGCACTTTCTTTAGTACCTTTCAGATATTTTGGATTTATCTATTGAGAATTCTCTATTTAGTTCTGTACTCTACTTTTTAATTGGATTATTTGGTGTTTTGGTGACTAGCTTCTTGAGTTCCCTGTGTATTTTGGAAATCAGCCCTCCGTCAGATGTGGGCTAGCCAGGTCTTATCAACTGTGTCCTTTGCCTTACAGACGCTTTTCAGTTTCAGGAGGTCCCATTTATTAATTGTTATCTCAGTGTCTGTGCTACTGGTGTTTGGTTCAGGAAGTGTTCTACTATACCAATTTGTTCAAGGGTACCTTCCAGTTCTCTTCTAAGAGGTCCAGTGTGGCTGGATTTATGTTGAAGTCTTTGATCCATTTGTATTAAGTTTTGTGCATGGCTATAGATCTAACCCTTTGTTACATATTTTTGACACCAGAGATTCTCTCTTCCATCTCTTGTATTTGGTTGGTTATGATGGCCTCTGTAGTTCCTGATCATTTGGCTAGTTTTTCTATTTCCAGAATTCCCTCAGACTTTTTTTTTGTTTGTTTTTAATATTCTTTATTTCAGCTTTCAAACCTTGGACTATTTAAATTGTTTCTTTCAATTTTTGGTTTGTCTTTTCATTCATTCCTTGATTTTTTTTGTTTGTTTTTCTTCCATTTCCTTAAGGGATTTTCTCATTACCTCTTTGCAGGTTATATATCATTATATATGTTATATCATTATAATGTTGTTTTTAAGATCATTCTCTTCTGCATCATCTGAGTTGGAATGTTCAGGTCTTGCTGGTGTGGAGTCCCTAGACTCTGGTGGCATCATATTGATCTTTCTCTTGTTGACTATGTTCTTATACTGTTGTCTACCTATCCCTTTTTCCAGTGTGCATCATCAGGGTCTCTCCCTCTCCTGATGGGACCAAGGTTTTCTTCCAGTAGGTGCAAGCAGCTCCCATACTCTGATGGCTCTCCTCCTCCAGTGGGTGGAATTGGGACTAATGCTGATTTACTGGAACAGGCTCCCCTGCATGAGTCCCCAGTCCTCAGGAGACTCTGAGCAGGACACAGGAAGCCAGGCTCTTTCTGTGGATGGAGGTGGGACCAGGAAGCTGGCAGACTCTGGATAGGCCGGTCTTCCGTGATGGGCTCCCCTGCATGCTGTCCCCAGTCCTCAGGAGGCTTCCAAAGGCAGGCTCTTTCAGTGGGTGGAGGCAGGACCAGGATCCTGGCAGACTCTGGATGGGCTGCCCTATGCATGCCTGCACAGGCCCCAGACATCAGGAGGCTCAGAGCATGGCCCCAGAAGGCAGGGTAGAAACCTGGATATTTTTAAGAAGGCATCTTTGCTCAACAACATACCATAAATGCTCATTTTCTTAGGAATATATAACCTGGAAAAATATTTTATTACTTAATCCAAGCTAAGTGACATTGCTTAAGGGAAGCTGAATGTTTCTGGAATTCCCTTCATATTCACACATATCATTAAAGGAGGTATGGCAAGGACTCAGATCCCCAATGTCCTAAAAAATAATGATTTGCATGTTGTTTTGGGTAGACAGGAATGCCTGTTATCATGCACTGACATTTCCTGAATGAGGCTTTCTCCAGATCCTTGGCTTTCAAGTGAGAAGGAAGAACTGTCTTACAAGACTCCGAGACCAAAGAGAGGCAGAGATAGAGCTGGTAGGTGAAAGCAGAGAGTGGAGTGAAGAGGCAGAGAAAGCAGCGGTCCTCCTCATCCACAAAAGCTCTGTGTGGTCCTCCTGATGGGGAGGGTATCATGTATCCTGAAGAAGCTGCTTTAATCCTAGGTGTTTGTTCACACACACCAGTCAAGGCCAGATGCTGAAAATCAGTAGGGTCAGACTGGGGCTGGAGCACTGTCCATCCTCTCAAAGTTAGGTTTCTTGAAGGCCCTCTGGATTCCAAGGCTCTAGGACAGGGGTACTGAAGTCTGATAGATTCTACTTCTCAGGATAAATAAGGCTGGATGGCCCAGGCAAAGATATAGGTGCGTGATCATCTGTATCCCAATGTTTGTCTTATAAGTGTGCACAAACGCGTCTGCTTCTTCTCGTTTGGAGACTGGGACACACATGAGGACAGTGAGACTGTCACATAAGTCAGGAAAACGTCTCCAGTTACTGCTCAAGAGAGTAAGGTCAAAATATCACTGGTACTACAGAGCAGAGCATGTATTGAGTAGTTGTGTTTTCTGGTATAGTATTCATGTCTATCATCACTAGTCAATGCTTTCTAATGAAGAACTGTGGAAAATAGAAGTAAATGGCAGAAAATAGCAAATATGGAGGATGCC